GCCACAATTTGGTGCCTACCTCAGAACTAAGCCTTAAAGAGAGGACGGGTCCGTCCCCTCTCCAAGGCTTAGTCCTGGGGTAAGCAAACCACCCCTTTTGGCGTTTCTGCTGGGACCGTATGCTGAATGTTGGGGAGGGGATGGGGTCCCCAACGGTCGACGGTTTACTTCAACTCGGTTGGTACGATAGGAGAGTACTGACGCAAGTGGTGCAGCTGGTCCAGCAGCTCCGCCAGAAGGGCTGGTTTGCTCACCCCAGGACTAAGCCTTGGAGAGGGGACGGACCCGTCCTCTCTTTAAGGCTTAGTTCTGAGGTAAGCACCAAATTGTGGCGGTTCTAAGGACCGAGTTGAAGTGGTCCGTCCACCGTCGGGGACTCCATCCCCTCCCCAACATTCAGCATACGGTCCCAGCCGAAGCGCCAAAAGGGCTGGTTTGCTTACGTCCTGTAACCTACTGCAAAGACTCCTTTGGCAACCAGAGTGCACACATGTGGGTAGCAACCAGTTTTCATTCGGTATCACGTTACGCGTCTATCAAAGTTTATTACAAGTGCCAATTAATCTTACCAGGACCATTACTCCTACCATAACGTGGGAGAGGTCAGCTGATACTAGTCTCTCTAAATACAAATACTGTGTGGGTAAATCGATACATTCCTGTTGCCCTTCTGCATCACAGCCGTCTTCACTAACTTGTGGCTGAGACAAGATGAATTATTATGTTATACAATGATTATTAATAGATTACTATGATGTGGGAGTGGGAAAAATACATCTTCGTTGTTATTATTGTACGTCACCCGATATTTATTTTACTTTACCTGTACTCAAGAGCCACTAAGTCTTCACCGTATACTATATAATGTGAGTGAAGCTCAATTGTAAGGCCGCTGAATAATGGCCCTCAATTTTTTCATGGAATCTTTAGTAGACTGGAAAAACGTGCTTGTTTGTAAAGTGAACTTGATGCTGAGTTAAGAATGCAAGTCAGGCAAGCGTGCATGGTTTATTTTACATACAGGATAAAGGATAAAAAGATAAAGCATTTGCCGTTGATCAATCCCTTTTGGGATGCGGCACGCATTCTACTTCCATTTGTACATTCGTAGTGGCGTTTGAATGCGATGTGGCCTATACAATGACTTGCGGGGGCCAGCCGATGTACAAGTCAGTGTTTTTATCCTCCCAGACAAGTCTGGTACCAATTAACCGACCCCGGAGGGATGGAAGGCTTGGTTGGCCCGGGCGACTCACGACCCAGGATTTGATCCCCGGACCGCTCGCGTGGTAAGCGCGCCACTTGTCACTACACCACTTCCGCCCATACATTAATGTAGGCCTTTTCAGGGCAATTCCAGATGAGAAAACAGAGAAAATTTAAAGGACTTTCCGTCCCCCAACTCCTCGGGAGAATAGCATACGGCCCCGGGCGACAAAGCTGGTAGAGTTATAAAGCGTGAGCGCGCAATGCATGTGGTCTGGCTACAGACAAGAAATCATGGAATCGACTTCCTGAAGATTTTGCTCCCTTCTTTTTTCTTTGCCTAGAACTCCTTCCATTAGCTGCCTTATCACTCACTTCATTTTGCGGACGAACAGTAGGACATGCATAGACAAGCCGGCTCACTAAAGTTGTGGTTCATATAACGATGTGATTATTTTTAGCATCTCAGTGGTCATACTGGTAACCGGAATACTAATAAGAATCACTTCGTTAGTAGTAATGTAGTCGTAATATCATGAAATAGCATCCAAAAATTGCCAGACGAGATCTCACTATGTAAGTGCCAGCATCCCAAAACGGGATTGATCAACGGCAAATGCTTTATCATTTTTATCCTTTATCCTGTCATGTAAAATAAACCATGCACGCTTGCCTGACTTGCATTCTTAACTCAGCATCAAGTTCACTTAGATAACCAAAGCCCGTTTTTCAGTCTATCTAAAGTATATCAGTGAAAAAATTGAGGGGCCATTATTCAGCGGCCTTACAATTGAGCTTCACTCACATTATATAGTATACGGTGAAGACTTAGTGGCTCTTGAGTACAGGTAAAGTAAAATAAATATCGGGTGACGTACAATAATAACAACGAAGATGTATTTTTCCCACTCCCACATCATAGTAATCTATTAATAATCATTGTATAACATAATAATTCATCTTGTCTCAGCCACAAGTTAGTGAAGACGGCTGTGATGCAGAAGGGCAACAGGAATGTATCGATTTACCCACACAGTATTTGTATTTAGAGAGGACTAGTATCAGCTGACCTCTCCCACGTTATGGTAGGAGTAATGGTCCTGGTAAGATTAATTGGCACTTGTAATAAACTTTGATAGACGCGTAACGTGATACCGAATGAAAACTGGTTGCTACCCAC